TTGTTATTTTCCGTTTAACCATTATTTCATCGAGAGATATTCCCAATTGCAATTGTTTATCATGTGTTTGAAATATTCATGTACAGGTTATTAGTCTTTTATGTGATATTAGACAAGTTAAGAAATTAATTTATTACAAGGAAATTTTTTAATAAAAAAATTCATTGGCAGCTGGGAGCCCAGCAGCAGAGATCATCATCATCTGTCATTGAGGATTAACGGCGTGCATAGAGATGGAAAGGATTATTCTATTGGAAACTTGGAGCATAATATTTTAGATCAGATCGGGTATTATTTATTTATTTTCAATTGTTGCATAATGACCAACTAGAGAATTTATAAATTCCTCTGCTTACATTTGTTGTTCAAAAGCTCCGCGTTTATTTGAAAAGAATTCAACGGGACATCTCATCATAAAAAAAAATAGCTTTTATTTATGTCAGTCCTAATTTTTTACATTGTAACCAATCAGATTGAAATGGATTTTTGCCTTACAAGCTTGTTTACCACGATAAGATGTTTATCGGAGATTTTGTTCCAAATGATTCCTTTTTCATTCATTGTTTTTGCTGATTTGAGTTCCCTGTAATGTTTAGTTTCTGACTCAACCCAATACCAGCATCTTTCTTTTTTATTATTCCAAGATGCTTTCTTCTTCAACAAAAAAGTACCAATTGAGATTCCAATGATCATCTTTCCCAATCTTATAAATTTATAATAATAAGTATCGAGAGACTAATATTGATTAAAACAAAAGTTTATTTGTTCAGCTTGACAAGGTTTCATTCATAACCATTCTACACGAATAAAAGGTTGGCCCAAAGGATTGTAAGAGTATATCATTACTAATTTTGTTGCAATTATTGAAAACATTTACTTTGTGATAAAGTGTTGCTTGAAAATTTCTTTGGTTTCTGTTTTGTTCCATTTGATTAATTAATTCGTTTTTCAAGACGTGTCAAAAGCCAAATCATGTTATTATTGTTTTCACAAGAAAAAAAGAAGGATA